GTGTGGCTCGCAGGGTGTAGTGTGGCTCGCAGGGTGTAGTGTGGCTCGCAGGGTGTAGTGTGGCTCGCAGGGTGTAGTGTGGCTCGCAGAGTGTAGTGTGGCTCGCAGGGTGTAGTGTGGCTCGCAGGGTGTAGTGTGGCTCGCAGGGTGTAGTGTGGCTCGCAGGGTGTAGTGTGGCTCGCAGGGTGTAGTGTGGCTCGCATGGTGTAGTGTGGCTCGCATGGTGTAGTACAGCTCACAGGGTGTAGTGCGGCTCACAGGGTGTAGTGCGACTCACAGGGTGTAGTGTGGCTCACAGGGTGTAGTGTGGCTCACAGGGTGTGGTGTGGCTCACAGGGTGTGGTGTGGCTCACAGGGTGTGGTGTGGCTCACAGGGTGTGGTATGGCTCACAGGGTGTGGTACGGCTCACAGGGTGTGGTACGGCTCACAGGGTGTAGTACGGCTCACAGGGTGTAGTACGGCTCACAGGGTGTAGTACGGCTCACAGGGTGTAGTACGGCTCACAGGGTGTAGTACGGCTCACAGGATGTAGTACGGCTCACAGGGCATAGTATGGCTCACAGGGCATAGTATGGCTCACAGGGCATAGTATGGCTCAGGGCATAGTATGGCTCACAGGGTATAGTATGGCTCACAGGGTATAGTATGGCTCACAGGGTATAGTATGGCTCACAGGGTGTAGTACGGCTCACAGGGTGTAGTACGGCTCACAGGGTGTAGTACGGCTCACAGGGTGTAGTACGGCTCACAGGGTGTAGTAAGGCTCACAGGGCGTAGTACGGCTCACAGGGCGTAGTAAGGCTCACAGGGCGTAGTAAGGCTCACAGGGCGTAGTATGGGCTCACAGGGTATAGTATGGCTCACAGGGTATAGTATGGCTCACAGGGTATAGTATGGCTCACAGGGTATAGTATGGCTCACAGGGTGTAGTACGGCTCACAGGGCCTAGTACGGCTCACAGGGTGTAGTATGGCTCACAGGGCGTAGTATGGCTCACAGGGCGCAGTATGGCTCACAGGGCACAGTGTATGGCTCACAGGGCACAGTGTATGGCTCACAGGGCGCAGTGTATGGCTCACAGGGCGCAGTGTATGGCTCACAGGGCGCAGTGTATGTCTCACAGGGCGTAGTGTGGCTCACAGGGCATAGTGCGGCTCACAGGGCGTAGTATGGTGCACAGGGCGTAGTATGGTGCACAGGGTGTAGTAAGGCTCACAGGGTGTAGTATGGCGTACAGGGTGTAGTAAGGCTCACAGGGCATAGGACGGCTCACAGGGTGTAGTACGGCTCACAGGGTGTAGTATGGGCTCACAGGGCGTAGTATGGCTCACAGGGCGTAGTATGGCT